CCCCCCCCGCCACTGCAGCCTCAACCTGCTTGGCCCAGGTGATCCTCAGCCTTCCAAGTGGCTAGAACCACAGGCATGTGCCTCTGTGCCCAGCTAAGTTTTTGATTTACTGTAGAGATGAGGTCTTGCCAAGTTGCTCAGACTGGTCTTGAACCCCTGGGCTCAGGCAATCCTCTCACTTCTTTCTCCCAAAGTGCTGGGATGACAGGCGTGAGCCACCGCACCCAGCTGAATTCTCATATACTTTTTACCCAGATTTACGAATTGTTTACATTTTGCATGTTTGCTTTATTGATGCCCAGCAGCCCAATACCACTAAGAACAAACCTGTAACTAGAGACAGCTTATTGTACCTTTCTGCAGCAAGGAAGCCCACATACTATGGCGATCATGAGGTAGCTTGGTATAAGGCATTTAGGAAGGACTGGCTATCAGGTTTCATATAGCAGATAATATTAGCTATTATAACACTAAATCTATTAAATATTAGATATCTATTAGAGGACGACAAATAGTAAATTGTGTATTAGATAGTACTAGATAACATATTACATAACATCATGTTATCTCATATGCAGTTTTATTTCTAAATTTGTTGTTTTTCAGTTAAAGTCCTTATAACTGTCCCCTACCCCACCTCACACTTGTTAAAGTCCAATTTTATCTATTGCCTTTAGTTGTTACATTTCTACAGTCTAATCTGCAGTTTAATCTGGAAGATGCCACAGCCTTTGTCATATTTATCTTTGGTATTTTTTTAAAGAGTATAGACAAGTTATTTTGTAAAAAGATATTCATTTGGGGTGTATCTGAAATATTTCAGGTTTTAGTTGAGATAATGCATCATTGGCAGGGATATCACAGAAGTGATGAGGTATCATTTTTGAGGCAACGTAACTGGGGCCAAACGATATTGCTTTGTTTGTTTCTTGGTGATCTCAATTTTGTTCACTTGCCCAAAACAATTTTTCAGATTTCTCCACTGTAACATTATTATCTTTTTAATTTGAAAATAATAAAGTCTCTTCTGAGGAGATACATTAGTGGGCATTCTACTGTAAAGATAAACTTCCAGTTCTCCCCTGATTTTTTTCATTTGTTTAAATATAAATATTCTGTTGATGTGAACTCAGAATTGACTCTTGTTACATTAAATGACATACACATTAACAATTTTTTTTCCAACATTTTTTAGTTTTTTTTTTTTAAATTTCAGGGTTGTGGGGTACAAGTGAGGATTTGCTACAAAAGTAGGCCGCATGCAGGTGAAGTTTGGGTTCCTAGCTGGCCCTCATGCACCCTAGTAGTGGACTAGGTACCCATTCTGCTGACATGTGCCCCCTCCCTCTTGCCTCCCTCTCTCCCTTAGCAGTGCCCAGCAACTACCGACCCCACCCTTGTGCTAATGTGACTAGTGTTCAGGGCCTGCTTATGAATGAGAACATGGGGCATCCAGCTCTTTTGTTTCTGTGATAGTTCATTTACTATTCTTGTTGTCCAACTCCATCCAGTTTTCAGGAAGTCCATGACTGTGTTCTTTAGGGCTGTGTAATGTTCTGTTGTGTATATGTACCACATGTTCTTTATCCAGGCCACTTTTGATGGGTAGCAGGGTTGTTTCCATGTTTTTAATGCTGTGAATAGTGCGTCAGCGCAGGTGCCTTTTTTGTAGAGCAATTTATCTTCCTCTGAGCATATTCTCAGGAGAGAGATTGCTGGATTGTATAGAAGCTCAATTTTTAGTTCTTTTAGGAATCACCACAATACTTTTCCTAGAGATTGAACTATCTTGCACTCCTACCAACAGTGTAGAGGCGTTCCCTTTTCTCTGCATCCACGCCAGCATCTGTTGTTTTGACTTATTAATGATAGCCATCTTTACCGGAGGTAGATGGTATCTCATTGTAGTTTTGATTTCCATTTCTCTGATGATTAATGAGACTGAGCATTTTTTCATGTGTCTGTTGGCTGTTGTGTCTCGTCTTTTTCAAAGTGTCTGTTCATGTCCTTTGCCCACTTTTTTTTTTTTTGATGTAGAGATGAGATCTCATCAAGTTGCCCAGGCTGGTCTCTTGCCGACTTTTTAATGGGGTTGTTTCTTTAATTCCTTTCACTTCATTTGAGTTCCTTCCTTGTGGATCCTGAATTTTAGGCCTTTGTCAGAGGCATAACTTACAATTTTTTTTTTTTTTTGCCATTACAAGGGTTGTCTGTAACCTCCTGATGGTTTCTTTTGTTGTGCAAAAGCTTTTCAGTTTGATGCAGTCCCACCTGTCTGTCTTAGTTTTTGTAGTATTTGCTTTGGGGGACTTGGTCATGAACTCATTACCTACTCTGATGTTCAGAAGGGTGTTTCCTACATTTTCTTTTAGGATTCTTATAGTTTGAGGTTTTACATTTAGGTCCTTGATCCATCTTGACTTGATTTTTGTATATGGTGATAGGTAATGTCCAGTTTCTTTTTTCTGCATGTGTCTAGCTAGTTATCCCAGCATCATTTGCTAAATATGGTCTCCTTTCTCCAGTGATTGTTCTTGGTAGCTTTGTCTAAGATGAAATTGTTAAGGAACCATGTTTTTGCTTCCAGAATCTGTTCTGTTCCATTGGTCTTTGTGCCTATTCCTGTACCAGTGCCATGCCATCTTGTTTACTGTAGCTTTGTAATAAAATTTGAAGTCTGGAAGTGAGACCTCCCACTTCGTTCCTTTTGCTAAGAGTTGTTTTGGCTGTTTGTGCTCTTTTTTGTTTCCATGTGAATTTCTGTATTGTCGTCTCCAGGTCTGTGACAAATGAATGATATTGGTGATTTGATGGGTATTGCATTGAATCTGTAGATTGCCTTGGGTCGGATGGACATCTTGACAGAATTGAGTCTTCGGGTTCATGAGCATGGGGTGTTTTTTCATTTGTTTGCATCATCCTTGATTTCTTTGAGCAGTATTTTGTAGTTCTCATTGTAAAAGTCTTTCATTTTTCTGGTTAGCTGGATGCCGAGGTATTTCTTTTCTTTTTAGTTGGAGTCTCACTCTGTTGCCCAGGCTGTAACCTTGACCTGCTGGGTTCAGGGAATCCTTCCACCTCATCCTTCCATGTAGCTGGAACTACAGGCATGAGCCACCATACTCGGCTAATTTTTAAAATTTTTATTGTAGAGACGAGGTCTCACCATGTTTTTCAGGCTGGTTTTGAACCCCTGGTCTCAGACAATCCTCTTGCCTTGGCCTCCTAAAGTGCTGAGATTACAGGCTTGAACCACGACACCCAGCCGGTATTTCTTTTCCTTTCCTTTTTTTTTTGGTGATATTGTGAATGAGATTGTGCTTTTTTATTTGGTTCTCTGCCTGCTTGTTGTCATTGTATAGAAATGCAGCTGTCTTTCGCATGTTGATTTTGTAATCCAAGACTACCAAAGTCATTTATCAGTGCAGAGGCTTTTGAGAGACTCCAGCTTTTTTTTTTTTTTTTTGAGTTAGAGTTTCACCCGTCGCCCAGACTGGAGTGCAGTGGCCGCTCCCGAGCACCGCAGCCTCGACCCACTGGGCTCCGGTGATCCTTCCACCTCAGCCTTCTGATAGCCAGAATTTACAGGCGTGCACTACCACGCCCGGCTCATTTTTGATTTATTGTAGAGATGAGGTCTCGCCAAGTTGCCCAGGTGGGTCTCGAACCCGCGGGCTCAGGCAATCCACTCACCTCAGCCTCCCAAAGGCGTGGGATTACAGGCTGAGCCACCGAGCCCGGCTACTCCAGCATTTTTAAGGTATAGAATCATATTGTTCACAAAGAGGGATAGCTTAACTTTCTCTCTTCCTGTGTGGATACCCCTGATTTCCTTCTCTTGCTTGATTGCTCTGGCTAGGACTTTGAGCACTATGTTGAACTGGAGGGGTGAGAATGGGTATCCTTGTCTTGTTTCCTTTCTTAGGGGAAGTGCTTCCAGCTTCTGCCCATTAAGCAAAATGTTGGCTATGGGTTTATCATAGATGGTTCTGATTGTTTTGAGGAATGTTCCTTCTATGCCTAGGTGTTCGAGGGTTTTTATCAAGATGGGATGCTGGATTTTGTCAAATACTTTTCTGTATCTATTGAGACCATCTTGTGGTTCTTGATTTTACACCTGTTAATAGGCTGAATTACGTTTATGGACTTGTGAGTGTTGAACCAGTCCTGCATCCCAGGAATGAAGCCCACATGGTCATGGTGGATAATGCTTAAGATATGTTGTTGGATCTGATTTGCTAGAATCTTGGTGAGTATTTTTGCATCTATGTTCATCTGGCAGCTTGGCCTTTAATTCTCTTTTTTGTTGGGCCTTTGCCAGGTTTGGATCTCAGAATGATGTTAGCTTCATAAAGTGAACTAGGGAGAAGTCCATCCTTGTTTGCCTTCAATAATCTTATCCTTCAATAAGATAAGGCTCCATGGCTCAGCTTGTAATCCCGCGCCTTTGGGAGGCTGAGGTGAGTGGATTGCCTGAGCCCGCGGGTTCAAGACCCACCTGGGCAACTTGGCGAGACCTCATCTCTACAATAAATCAAAAATTAGCTGGGCATGGTAGCACGCGCTTGTAGTTCCAGCTACTTGGAAGGCTGAGGTGGAAGGATCGCTGGAGCCCAGCAGGTCGAGGCTGCGCTGGCCGGGAGTGGCCACTGCACTCCAGTCTGGGCGACAGAGTGAGACTCCAACTCAAAAAAAAAAAACAAAAACAATGAGATTGATATCAACTCTTCCAGGTATGTGTTATAGAATTCAGCTGAGAAGTCATCTGATACAGGGGTTTTTTTGGGCAGGGAGGTTTCTTATAACTGTGTCAATTTCCTGGATTGTTATTGGTCTGTTTACGGTTTCAATTTCTTGTTTCAGTCTTAGGAGGTTGTGTGATGCCAAAAAATCATCCATTTCCTTGAGATTTTCTAGTTTATTTGCATATAGATGTTTATAGTAATCTCTGATCATCTTTTGAATTTCTTCAGGATCAGTTGTGACATTACCTTTTTTGTTTCTAATTGTGTTTATTTGGTCTTTCTCTCCCTTTTTTAGTCAATCTGGCCAGGGTCCATCAGTCTTATTGATCCTTTCCATGATTTTTTTGTCTTCTATGTCCTGCAATTGTGTTAATAATCTGGATTTTTCTACTGAAATTAGAATTTAGGTGATCTTGCCTTTCCAGCTCCCTTAGGCGTGATGTTAGGCTGTTTCCTTGTGATTTATTTTCTTGATGTGCCTGTGCAAAGCTATGACTTTTTCTCTCATCACTGCTTCCATGGCACCCCAGAGATTCTGATAAAATGTGTCTTTGTTTTCATTTGTTTCCAGGAATCGTTTTTATTTCTGCCTTGATTTCTGTGTTGACCCAGAAGTCATTTAGCAGCATGCTGTTTAGCATTCATGTCTTTGTTTGGGGAGATTTTCGTGGTGGCAATGTTTATTTTTATTCTACTGCGACCTGAGAAGATGCATGGTATTATTTTGACCTTTTGAAATTTGTTCACACGTGATTTATGTCCAAGAATATGATCAGTCTTGGAGTATGTTCCTTGTGCTGATGAGTAGAATATATATACTCCATAGTTATTGGGTAGAGTGTTCTGTAGATGTCTATTAAGTCATTTGGTTGAGTGTTGAATTAAGGTTCTGGATCTCCTTGTTGGTTTTCTTCCTCAATAATTTGTCTAGGGGTGTTAGTGGGGTATTGAAGTCTCCAATGATAATTGTTTGGGTGTCTGTGTCCTCTCCTAGTTTATTTAGCGCTTGTTTTATAAAACCTGGTGCTCCTATGTTGGTTGTATATATGTTTAAGATGAATATTTCTTGCTGGTGGGTTGAGCCTTTTATAGTATTCTTTTGTGTCCTTTTTAATCTTGATGATTTGAAGTCTGCTTTGTCTGATACCAAAATGGCTACCCCTGCTCTTTTCTGCTTTCCATTTTCATGAAAAGTCCATTTTCAGCCTTTTATTTTAAGCCTGTGGGTGTCCTTTGCATTCAGATGGGTTTCCGGATACAGCAGAATGTTGGATCATATTTCTTTATCCAGTTTGCCACTCTGTGCCTCTTCAGTGGCACAGTCAGTCCATTCATGTTCAAATTAATTCTTGAAATGTGAGAGTTTATCCCTGTTATAGAGCTCTTAGGGGTTTGCTTTGCTTCCTTTATACTTGTATATATCAGTATGTGTGTCTTCATTTTTGTGAATGATCTGTATGCTGTTGACTCTGTGCTTGCTTGTACTTTTGTGTTGGGTATGACCATTCCTTTGTTTCTGTGTTCAATATCTTCTTAAGCATCTCCTGAAGGGCTGGTCTGGAGACAGCATATTCTCTTAGGGGTTGATTTTTTTTCCAACTTCTTTAGGTATACTTCATACATTATACAGTTTACTTATGTCAAGTGTATACTCAGTGATTATTGGAAAGCTTGCCAAATGGAGTAGCCATCACCATAATTCTATTTAGATGATTTTCATTCCCTAATCGGACTCCTCTTGCCTACTTAAACTTCATTCTCACCTCAAATCCAGAGCAATTGCTAATCAGCTTTCTGTGTATATATATATGCCTAGACATTTCACAGAAATGGAATCATATACTATGTGGTCCTTTGTGACTGACTTCTATCATTTAGCATGCTTCCAAGGTTCATGCATGTTGTGGCATGATAAGATTTCATTGTATGAATATCCCACAATTTGTCTATCCATTTACCGACAGTAGGGCTTTTTGGTTGTTTGCAGTTTGGGGGTTACTATGAATAATGCTGCTGTGAACATTCATATGCTGGTTCACGATACACATCCGTGTTGGTGGGTGGCATCCCTGGCCACCCTTTCATGTTCTTTTTCTGCCTTCCTTAGCATTTTCGAGAAACAGTTCTGCCTCCCCAGGGGCTGTACAACTTAGGACTGTGTGAATTCCCCGAAGTAGGAGGAAAAATGAACATGTTCCAGGTGAGTAAAGCTTGCTTCTCTTGCTATTCAAATTCCATCTCACTATTCAGATGATTATTTTTCGTGTGATAATTGGGAAGACTTACAAAGAACAATAGGCATTTGAGGAACTTTTGTCCTTTGTCCCTTTTGAGTAGATTTTGCATTTGTTAGTTCTTGTTTTCTTTCTTTTCTTTGTGAATCAGAGTCTCTCTCCGTCACCCAGGCTGGAGTGCAGTGGCAAAGTCACGGCACCACAGCCTTGACCACCCAGGCTCAGGCAATCCTTTTGCCTCAGTCTCCTGAGTAACTGGTACTATAGGTGCATGCCACATGCCCGGCTAATATATATATATATTTTTTTTTTTTTGGTAGAGATGAGGTCTTGCTATGTTTCCCAGGTTGGTCTCTTGCTGTGTTTCCCAGACTGGTCAAGACTGGTCTTGAACTCCTAGGCTCAAGCCTCTCAAAGTGCTGGGATTACAGGAGTTAGCCACCATGTCTGGCCATGTCTTATTTTCTTGTATCTTTTTTTTGTGTGTGTGTGTAATTTAGAAAATAATAGGAATAGATAATTCTTTAATTTTACTAATTCCCTGCTCACAAATTAACTTTTTATCTTCCTATACTCTTCCTCATGTACATTCTTAACTGTAATTGTTTTGGTGATATTCATCTAGTATACATTATACTTTTTTATTTGCTATTATATAATGTTCATTTTTTAATGGTTGCATTATATTCTCATTGAATTGATGTACCTCAGACACTAGGAGCTCAGTTTTGGAAGGTACTTTTGACATGTTCCACTTTGGCTGTTTTGTAATCCACATATGCACAGCACAATAAGCTGTAACTGCTGCTTCACACAAGGATTGTTGGAGATTTTCACACAGGAAGAGCTAGATTCCTTTTCCTTCATGCCTGAGTCATGCCTTGTGTATATTTTATTTACTGGTCTTCCTTATTTTTTTATGTATTAAGTTTGACCAAAGTAATAAGTAACCTATGACCTATATCCATGGTACTAGAAGATTTACCAGTCACTTGTAGTTTGTGTATTTATTTACTCCTTGGAGCAGCTGAATGAGGTCTTCCTCATCTTCCTCTTTTTTTTTTTTTTGAGTTGAGGTCTCAATCTGTCGCCCAGGCTGCTGTACAGTGGCACACTCACAGCCACTGCAGTCTCAACCTGCTGTGCTCAGGCGATCCTTCCACCTCAGCTTTCCAAGTAACTGGAACTACAGGCACATATCATCATGCTTGGCTAATTATTTATTTATTTATTATAGAGATGAGGTTTCATCAAGTTGCCCAGGCTGGCTCAAACCCATGGGCTCAGGCAATCCTCTCACCTTGGCCTCCCAAAGTGCTGGAATTAAAAGCGTGAGCCACCACGCCCAGCTCATCTTCCTCTTAAATACATGAGATATGAGAAATCTGGTCAAGTTCAGGCAGGAAGCCCATGGTCAAGAATGTTAGCCATTTCACTCAATTGAAAGAGAAAGACAAGAAGAAAGAGAGAATTCTCCACTCAGGGACCTGTGTCCTGTGGTGTGGGTGTCTGAAGTGCCCTGTTAAGTGATGACATCTATAACAGACAGTGTTCCTCCCTGGCCTCTCCTTGATATGACCTCTTCTCTTTGTGACCTGGCATCTCCTCAGGTGAACTTAACACTTGAGGCACCCAAGAATAATGATTACCATAATCATTATAGAAAATCTTTAAATTCATTAAGGGAAAAGATGCCTTACACAGGCATCTGTGTAAGATGTAAGAGTGTTAGGTGAAAATATGTACCACTTGGATATTTGAAAAAGACAGAATCCAAAATAAGAATCTTAGGCACAAAATAGAGAAGAAAATTCAAATAAATACAAATAAAGGTCATTATCAGGAAATGTATAAAAAGATAGATGACAGCAATAAATATTTGAAAAGATAATGGCATTCATTTATAATCAGATAAGTGAGAATAATAAAATGAATTATTTCTAATCAGATTACCAAAATCATGGGAAAATCAATAACCTACTCTTGGCTGTCATAAGAAATATCAGGGTGATATATCCCCTTGAAACATTTTGGAGTTAAGTAAAAATTGAGAAGATCTGACATGATCACAATTTTAAACATTTTTATTTTGACATTTTAATTTTTATTTGAAATTTATTTTAAATAATCAAAGTAATATTTACATAAAATGATATTCTTTATTGGTTTGGTAATAATAAATATATATAATTAAATATTCATTATTTAGAATAAACTCGATCAATTCAGTGGAATACTATGCAGACATGAATGAGATGAAACATAATAATAATGATAAAAATAATTTAAATGGCTAATGTTTTTTAAGTACTTAGTCTGTGCCATATATTTTTCTCAATGTTATATATATTTCCCTGTTTAATTCTTTAAGCGCTATCATGTGACAAGCATTACACACGAAGGAAAGTAATACATTTAGGCAAATTTGTCCAAGGTCACACAACTGGGAAGGGACAGACCCTTAGGATGTGTTCTGAGTCACACTGGCTCCATATCATAACATTGAAGGCTATAATTAATGTATGTAGTTTGTGCATTGAGAGTACAGAGGATCCAGGGCATAGCTGACCCATAAACTTGTTAGTTTGGGAGTTAGTAAGGAACAATCATAGCATCCAGGGTTTGAGAATCAGAGAGCAGGACAGTGGATGTTATCAAACAAAGTTGGGTCTGAATTGCTAAATGTTGCTGGGGCAATTGGATAAATTCATCGAAGCCAGGACGCAAGTAGCCCAGGACACATCATTTAGAGTCCTGGGGGGTTACTGAAAGTAGGCTCAATGAGTACACAAAATAAAAGAGCAGGACTTCTCTTTCATTCTGACACACCTTGTGTTGCTCAGGAAAATCAGTGTGTTTCATTGTCAGGATACAGACAGAATGAGTAGTTGACCTACATTGCTTGACCTCCAGAACAACTTCCCACCCATTCCCTCTGCTCAGTGTTGCCAGTAATCATTGGTGACAAGATTGAGGTTGTGAATGTCTGATATTGTAGGAAGAAGTGACCTTCAATGACGTGGCTGTGGTCTTCACCGAGGAGGAGCTTGGGCTGCTGGACTCTACCCAGAGGCAGCTGTATCAAGATGTGATGCTGGAAAACTTCAGGAACCTACTCTCAGTGGGTGAGTACAGGCCCCCTCCATGAGGGAACATCAGGCCCCCAAAATGGCGTTGTATCCTACAGTGTTCAAGGTTGAGTGTTCAGTGGGAACCTAAATTTTCAGTAGATTTTATTTAGATGTTACCTAAATTAAGCATGCAACTTTGTATGTTCACAGGGCAGCAACCATTCTACCAAGATACTGTCCACTTCATAAAGGAAGAAGAAGAAGAGTTTTGGGAGATGGACACAGCAACCCAAGAAGAAGAGAATTCAGGTAAGAACTAGGCAGCTGTGCATCCTTGTATGTGACTCTCCCAATTGCTTTTCTTCTTTCCATGCCCAATTCCATCAACCTGGTAAAACTGCCAAACCACTTTTCTGGATTATTACATCTGCATTCCAGCTGGTTGTCCTGCTCCTACCCTTCCCACGCTGACATCTGTTCTCGTCATAGCAGTGGAAGTGATCCTTAGGAAATGTGAGACAGAATGCTATTCATCTGCCCAAAAGCTTTTGTGACTTTTTATTCTCATTAAAGTTACAACTTGTTTAAATGGCTTTTAGAGACCTCTGTCCTCTTCTCTTCAGCCCCCACTGCCTCTCTGACTCCATCTCCTGTCCTCTACCCCTCGCTCTATCTCTTCCAGGTACTTTGTCCTCCCTATTCTATCTCAGTCCTGCCGGGGACACTGTACTATCTGTTGCTGAAACCAGTAACCACAAACTTAGCAGATTAAGCAACAATTTATTATCTTTGTGTTATGCCTGAAGTCCACATGTGTCACTGGGAAAATCAAGGTGTCTTTAGGTCTTTGTTTTTTCTGAATGCTTGGGAGAAACCTTCACCTTGTTTTACCAGTGTCTAGGTACTGTCCCCTATCCACACTCTTTGGCTCTTATTTTCCTTCCTCCACTTTCTAAGGCAGCAGCTTGTATCTCTGATCAGTCTTCCATTCTTCCATGGTCACAGTCCAGCTGCCACTCTTCTTGTGCCTCTGTGTTCCACCTTTCTGGTCCCTTGTGATTGTTTTAGTCACGCCTGCATAATCCGGGATGATCTTCCTACTTTCTGGTTTACTGACTAGTAGCCTTAATTACATCTATAACCTCTCTTCCTCTTGCTGTGTAACATAACAAATTCATAGGTCCTGGGGATTGAATGCGGACAACTTTCAAGATCTATTATACACTTTTAATTGTTAAGAACAAAAAGAGGCCGGGCTCGGTGGCTCAGCCTGTAATCCCGCGCTTTGGGAGGGTGAGGTGAGTGGATTGCCTGAGCCCGCGGGTTCGAGACCCGCCTGGGCAACTTGGCGAGACCTCATCTCTAAAATAAATAAAAAATTAGCCGGGTGTGGTAGCGCGCGCCTGTAGTTCCAGCTACTTGGAA